TTAAACTTAGGCAAACTTTTGCTGAACAGTCGAAGTTCATGTTTTCTTTACATTTTTTTTAAAGTCGAAGATGTAGCTTAGTGTGCTCATGTTTTGGTTAAGAGCTGATTTTTCTTAGTTTAATAATAGGAATTTTTCCCGTGAATAAAAGACAACGCGAAAGGAACTGAAGAGTAGACACAGCATGATATTCATTTAACGTTACAGTATTCTATATTCAACTGAAGTGTCCTCTAGCGGTTGATCCAGTATATCCTCGACTGCACGTGGGGCACGTGAACTCGCATGATATTCACTGGGTGTTGTTTTTTTTTTTGTGTGTGTGTGTTTAAAGTCGAAGAGTCCTTTTAACCTAGACTTTGTTCTGAAGACGAATTTTAACATAACACGAATAATGCTTGTTAAAAAGTCATTTTTACTCCCAAACACAACACTGCTGCGCCAATATATTACTTAAACAATGCACACTGTGTGTATATATACTTATCTACCAATCACCGAATGAGCATCGCACGTATGCCTGGCTGAGAAGCGTCTTCCTTCTGCAATATTTAAACTTCCAACAGTTACAGAGGGATATAATTTTGGATCGCTGGCATTGAAAACATTTTTTTTAATGAATACAATATTAAAACAGCCAAAAATGACAAAGGTCTGATGAAAATAAATCCCCGTGAATAGGAATGCCTCTTGAAATGTTCGGGGCCTTAAGCAAATGTTTAGTTTGCTGCCTAGTACCACAAGTGCCTTAATATAATATTCATTCTGTACTACCTCCCAGTGGCACAGCGGTATGTCTGCGGACTTACAACGCTCAAAACGGGTTTCGATACCCGTGGTAGGCAGAGCACAGATAACCCTTGTGTAGCTTTGTGCATAATTAAAAACAAACAAACAAACTTTCTGTACAAACCTTTTTAAAAACAGGGTCAAAAATCTTGCTGCATTGATTGTAGGAGACTACACTGGAAACAATTGATTAAACTGGACATCCCTCCATGTGAATCGTATGGAATTGATGCTGCCTTTTTATTTTTAAAAGGTATCACGTAAGGCTGGTTTCCATGGTTACTGTAGAATCATTCCTAATTCCTATAAACTTAGTATAGAATTACCTCCATTTTGTTAATGTAATCCACTTTATGTAAAATCACAACCCCATTACCTTCATGAGGTTTAGTGATTATAATGTTATCACAATTATTTAAAACTTTTAAAGCCTAGGTTCCTGTTCTTTTTCATAAGCCTAAAATCTTGTAATATCCCGAGGGCACACCCAGTGACTTGAGATTTAATTTGTTCAAAAGTTATTCACTGATATTTTTAAATTTCACATTTAGACAAGTGTTGTAAGAACGTTTCAAAACTTAGAAAATAAAACTCTTTAGTAACTTTCTTAGGGGAGAATAGAAAATTGTAACCCTCTAGCTAAGACCCTATTCTCGTCATCAGACAAATAGTAACAGGATAAGTTACACAGGACTGCGATGGTTTTATTGTCTTGAAATTTTTACACGTTCTACACTAATTCCGAAAACGATATCCATTTTTCTCCATTACATACAGATTCTTTTTCACACAACGTCATAACGCAATACATAAAATAAAGACTACAACGACCTGGCATGGCCAGGAGGTTAGGGCGCTCGTCTCGCAATCTGAGGGTTGCGGGTTCAAATTCCCGTCACACCAAGAACGCTCGCTCTTTCAGCCGTGGGGGCGTTATAATGTGACGGTCAATCCCACTATTAATTAGTAAATAAGTAGCCCAAGAGTTGGCGGTGGGTAGTGATGACTAGCTACCTTCCCTCTAGTCTTACACTGCTAAATTAAAAACGGCTAGCGCAGATAGCCCTCGTGTAGCTTTCACAAAATTCAAAACAAACAAACAAAGACTACAACACGTAGTATTGAGACAAAGAGACATACATTTTACACAAAAAAATCAGGATGAATGAGGATTCATGTGAAATCAATATTCTTCAGTTTGTTTGTATTTTTGTTAACAAACATAATACTAATAAAAATTTTCCATTGTGATAAACGAAATAATAATTTGATCTAAGTAAGAGTTTTTTTCTTGTTCCAGATTTATAAAAAATCCTTACGTGATAGAAAAAAACGAATATTATTTTCGAAATCTGCGTAGCTGAACTATGTAAAATCCGTTATTACAACTTTCATGAAGTTTAAATTCACAGGCCTGTGTTATTAATAACACCATCTGGGTGTTCCATGAACGTGTACCCACATCTGTACTTTTCAAGGTCATTGAGTTAACTCTAACCTCTATTAGAGCTTTATTATCACAGTTGATAATTTAAATTTTCAAATAGCCTAAATCTTGGGGCTTATACTGTCTTACTCTACTTGCTCTACAACTTTTTCGAAATTTTTCTTTCTAATTTCAATTTGACAGACCTTAATTTCTAAGCCCAAATATTATTTTGAAATGGTGCGTATTATATAGAAATATACCATTTTTTTATTTACCATCTTAATCTTTTGTTAGAAGAACATTTTAGTGCGAAAAAGTTTTGTGTAGTTCGAAATTGATTCTCTGTAATTTTTATAAAAAATTTTAAAATGTTCTTAGTATATTTGCGCATAATAAAATCGGTGAGTCTTTTAAGTTTGTGCATTACAGAAGATATATGGATGACAGACACTGTTGCAGTGTTTTGTGCTTCGATTATTCGCCGCGATGGATAGAGCTCAGATAGCCCATTGTGTAGCTTTGCACTTGAAAAAAAGTACCGTCTAAATGGGCTTGATGCTGTGCCAACTTCTAGTTTCTTCGAGTCATTCTCCATTTCAGAGAAGAATTTCACCCTGGAATGCTAGAATATCTTGCCATTAAGCTAAGAAAATCAACTCTTAACTAGAAGATGAGTGCACTACCACCCACTTCATCTTCAATTGTGAAAATGTAAAGAAATGAACAGAACATAAACGTTGATCTTTGAACATGAGAAAGAAAAGAACAGATCATAAACTTCGATCTTTGAACATGAGAAAGAAGAGTACAGAAAATAAACTTTGATCTTTGAACATGAGAAAGAAAAGAACATAAACTTCAATCTTTGAACATGAGAAAGAAAAGAAGAGAACATATACTTCGATCTTTGAACATGAGAAAGAAAAGAACATAAACTTCAATCTTTGAACATGAGAAAGAAAAGAAGAGAACATAAACTTCGACTTTTGAACATGAGAAAGAAAAGAACATAAACTTCGATCTTTGAACATGAGAAAGAAAAGAAGAGAATATAAACTTCGATCTTTGAACATGTGATTGATTAATAACCTTTGCTGAGTAGAATACTTATTTTTGTGTTTCAGAATTTTGCACAAAGCTACAAAAGGGGCTCTCTGTACATAGATGCCCCTAATTTTGAACTGACAGTTCGAAAGTACCCACTACCAATAATTGGGCCATTCCTATCTCATCGAATTATTGAGATCTAGCCGTCACACTTTTAGTGCACCCACAGCCCAACATTGCGGAGTGCCACGAACTCTAACATTTACAGAACTCTAACACGAACTCTAACATTTACAGTCTTGGGTAACTGATTCTCGCCCTCGTAGAAAATTTAAGACATTAAAGTATTCAACTTCACAGGGGGTCTTCTCGAAATTCTTGCTTATGAAAAACAAGATTAATAGAGAGGTCCAGATGAATTACATTATTTAATTTCTACTTGTCTTAATATCTCAGACTAGCTTGGTTTTGGTTTGTTTCGGATATTTGTGGGAAGCTACACAAAGGCTATCTTGTATTAGTCGTGCCTAATTTTGAACTGTTAGACTAAAGGGAAAAACATTAGTTAAACAGCAGTGACCGCCAACTCTTGGGCTACTCTAATAAAAAAATTTGGATTTGATTGTTACTTATATGACTCACCCACGACCTCAAAGTGTGAGGTGAGATTTTTTGTGGCAATGGGACGCTAACTATGTACCATCAAATCCACAGTCGACATGTTAATAAAGAGTCCACATCTGACTCACTAAACACGTCCTAATTAAAGAATAATATATATATAAATGTGTGTGTCACATTGGACATTCTTAAACTATAAGCTTGATTTGTTCTGTACGTAGTGAGCAGCTGGAGAAATAACTTCTAATAACACGTTTAAATACTGAACATTATTGGTTTGTTTGTAGTTAGGCACAAAGTCACACAACGGGCTATACCACGAGTATCGAAACCCGGTTTTTAGCGTTATAAGCCTTCAGACTTACTGCTGTGCCTCTGAATGGATGTGTAATAATTAATGGACTCAATAAGAAGTTAAATAGATCATAACATGGATATTAAGACATATAAATTCTTCTAATGCCTCATATATTTCAGAGTTGTTGTTGTATTTTTTTTTGTTTCAGCCCAATGTACATTCATTGAAGTAGAGGGAAGATGTTTTATATGGACAAACTTTAATGAACATGCTAAGAACTTTAAAGTAAACTTAAATAACTGTGCTAATACAGAATCAGTTGAGGAAATGCCTGGTTATCTGGTTTATATTGATTGACTTCAGTTTTATTGGCAAACACTACATAAGGAGAGTAAATTGCACAACTAAACCTCTGTAGCAAGTGGTTGATTATAATCCTAACATTTGGAGTTTGGTCCCCAAATTGGAAACAGTACAGATAACCCATGTTACGGGTTTGTGCTTAAAACAAACAAGCAACTAAAATAAACGCAATTGTCAAAACCTTCCTGACGAGATTCCAACTCACGAGTGTTATTTTGTTGCTAGAAATATCATAAAAAGTTTTCTTGTATTAGTAGAGAAAAGGTAACAAGACGAAAGATTATGGAAACCAAAGTACAAGGAATGCCTCATTGATTTTGCTGTTCATAATGTATTTATTTTAAAGCCAAATGACTTAAAATAGCTAAATATGCAAATTTAATAAGAATTATTTGATTTTCATTCGTCTAGCAAAACAGATTTGAAACTCACATATAGTTTTGTTTTTTCTAGGTTGTTTTTACTACTTCAACTCGACCATCAACCCAGTTCTGTACAGTGTCATGTCCAACCGTTTTCGGGTGGCTTTCAGGGAGAAATTGTGTACGGACCCTCCAAGTATCTATTGCTTCTGTTCATGTTGTTGCTGTTGTCGGCATGAAGTTGACGACAAACGTTCTAAGCGACCCATTAGCTACAGAAACTCTAGCTCCCAGGGATCTGTCCGTTCGAATCGAAATCATTCGTTAAATAGTCTTCGACTAGATCGTAACAACTCGTGTCTTCGACTCCGAAACATGGAGGTAGAGAACTGTATCAATAGCAGCCCTTTACCAGTATCAATGAAATGGGTAAGAAACCCAAATTATGAACCTGTTCTTGTAGATTGTGAGAAAAGGCGGACAGCAGGTGAAAACATCCTAGTTGTTCCTGTAACACATACTTCCAGAACAGTTAGTGAATCTAATTTCCAAACTAGGATCAGGTTTGAACAGGGTAAGGATCAGAATACCCACAAAGACGACCTACAAGAAGACGAGTTAGCAGAAGAACTGGACAAGGCTATCCGGCCTCAACTATCAAAACTTTCAGTTGCAGATCCAGGATGTGTCGACTGTACCAACTGTAACATTATTTTCACACCAAAGTTTAACCATAGCTATAGCACAGCTGATAAATCGACAGATAGGAAGAAAACAGATAAATCAATACGAGAACCCGTAATACCTGAAGGATCTGTGGTTTAACCACATATTTTAGGCTTAGCCAACTATTTTATGTAATATTAGATGTATAATCATACTGATGGAGTCGAATAGAAAGTTTATATGAAGCTTGTGAAATGTCCTCGAGTAATTAGATAAAATGTAATAATATAGTGTGTTTATGGGTGGGATGGGAAGAACAGATTGTCGCTTAAGACAGATTAATGATGTTTTTAAAACTCGTTTATTTATTGAGATGTCATATTATTACTAAGAACTTAAATGTTAATTATTAATAACAACTTCTGAAATGAGGTAATGGTGAGTGTAAAATGATATGTCAGCCACAGTATACTTGCTGTACCCAGTGCCGAAAAGACCTTTTGTTGAATACCATGGATCTTTAGGCCAGCTAGGCCAATTGATTGACAACAAATAGAATGGGGTAAATTGAATTAAGTTGGCAAAGTGTAAAATCTTCATTGATTTTATTTATTTTAGAACACATCAAAGGTAGGGTAAATATTTTGAACACTTTATATTTACTTCTTTTAACACTATATATATTAGTGATAATTATTTTATTGAATTAACTTGCTAATCTTTTTAATTCCTGAGCTCCTCAAGCAACCACAATGCCAACAGGTGAAGACTGCATTTTTATTTGTTATTTATGGATAATAACGTTTGAAGAGCAAATAATATTATGTCAACCAGGCTATATGTGCTATATCCTGTGCCGACGAGGCCTTTCGCCAATTACCACTAGTAATATACGATTGTTACTTAAACATTAATAACATTAGATTTTTTCATTGCACATTTCCGTCGCCAATGGATTTTGTGCTGGAGATATTATAATGCCCATGCGCAGAGTAATGACAGATTGGACCTCTTCATCCTATTTATGTTGTTGAGAATCTATTTTGTTTGTTAGGCAAACATACTGTGGCATTGAGTTTAGAATTCCCGAATTCACAGAATGCTTTATAATGCAACAATTTACTTACTAAGTAAAATATTTTTCCTCCTACTACTACTACCTTTGAACACAGCATATTCAAGTTGTAAATTATGATTCGCTACGACATAAAAATCAATAGAATATCACTCTGATGTTAAGTTGTGTTACTCATTGTTTATTCTAAAGCTCACGAATAATTTAAATTGTTTCATAAAGAATATTTATTTTGATATACATATTAATTTGCTTATTCCTGTCAATTATACCAAATACATATAAAATATACTGAACGGGTAACTCTAGTATTTGTGATTTACTCTATAAATTAAGCCTTAAAAATAGATGTCAGATTTAATATTTCAAAATGTTTGAAAATCTCATTAATTTTAATGCTTAGTACTATCTGATGATACTGAGATAAGTACCACGAACAATGCCCCTCAGTGGCACAGTGGTATGTCAGCGGACTTACAACGCCAGAAACTGGGTTTCGATATCTGTGGTGGGCATCCCATTGTGTAGCTTTGTGCTTAATTACAAATAATCCATAAATAATAGGTTTAGCTCTACGAAATAGATGTCGCTTCGAACAAAAACATGCAGAATTGTTCTAACCATTCCAAAATTCAACAATTAATCAGCGTTGGTACTGCCATGACGTCACGTTTGGCTCAACGCTTTGTTAATATTTTCAAGAAGGACATCCAGCAAAAGAAGAAGAAGAAGAGTTTTTCAAAGAGGTGGAATTTGTACAACAATAAATGTAGTAAAACAAAATCACTGTAAAAACACAACACTGAAATAGAAACAAATTCATTTTATTAAGTGCCGTTTCATTTTCATATTAAGCATGAAAAATAGTGGGTGCTTGAAACGTTGCAATTTAAAATAAATGTGTTTCTATTTAAACGTCGCGTTTTTACAGTAATCTTATTTTAAAATAAAAATAGTTCCTGTATTCAGAATTACCGTATACTGTGAATCACCTATTGTAAATGTCACGTCTCTCACTGAAGCTGTCTTACTGCATTTTTCAACTGAACGCTCCTCCGGGTCGTTGAGTGTGTTGAGCCAGCGTTGAAGCAACACCGCAAATCAACGATAAGAAAAAGGTGACCTTAGGAACGGGGCATGGCAACGCTGACACTAAGCTTTGCATTTTTATGTGTGTAAACTTGTAACTAGTGACATGTACTTTAGTATGTTTTGCTTAAGTGTTTATGTAATCAGTGTTATTTCAAAGGTAAATATTAAAAGCTAAAGTTTACAATTGAATTTCTATGAGTCAACGCATTTGTTTGGAAAGAAAGCTTATATTATGCAATTTACTACCATAAAAATACCTCTTGAGCATCACGGTTTCGTCAAGCCTTTTCGAACGATTGCTTAATGTAACACAAATGCATTTAATTCATTTATTGGAAGAAGTTTAAAATATGCTATATAAGTGGATGTCAGTTTGAACACTTAACTATAATCTTATGATGGCTACTTCCAATTCTAATAGATTACGTTTATGAATATCGAACCTGTTGTATTAGGTCGTCAAGAAATTAATGTCACTTTTTTTAGATAAAACACCCGAACAACTTATATATCAAAACAAAACATTTATTAAATTAAATATTCTCCATTCTTATCGATGACGCTTTTCCATCTTAAAATCAGGTTGTTAATACCCTGCTTAAAGAAATCACTTGGCTTTGAAGCCAAAAACATGTCGATGTCCTCTTTAAGACCTTCCCTATTTG